GATGACAGACCCAATTGAAATAACAGAAGGATTAAAACAGAGTGATAGGCTGGCACCAACATTGTTTAATTTAGCACTGGAATACGTAGTAAGAAAAACATCAAAAAGTAGAAACAACATTCTTCTTATTACAGTTCCTATCCGTTCCGGATGTTGGTGATCAGCATAGCTATCCTAACTTTACTTGCAGCTATTCGGAATAGTCCGGTTGTAAATGTATTGAATCCTTAGGTTTTGAAGCCAAGATATTCTTTTTCCCATTTAGCCTTTGTTTATTCTTTTGTATAATGTCTTGTCCTGATCTTTGACCTTTCGCCTCTCTTCCATCATATGTAAAATCTCATTTGTCATCCACGATTTTTTCCTAATTTTTGGTGGTTTGAGGAATTTTCTTTAACTTGCGAAACTCTATCCAATTTTTCAAGCTCCTGGTCTATTAAATCAGTTTAAAAAACGGTATTCAAATTGCTATGTATATACTGTTTTACACTCTATTCTCTGCATTGGTCTTTGAGTAACCTGATGTCGTATTTTGGGTTGACACTACGTCGAATCTTCTTTAGCCTGACCCTCATTTTCCAAATCGGTAGGTTGTGGTCTGACTTGATATCGGCTCCTGGGTATGTTTTGACTGATGTAATGCTGTTACGGAATCTTTTATTAATCATAATGTAATCTATTTGATTTCTGACTATGTGGCCTGAAGTATCTTGAGGTAATTTCCACGTGTATAATCTCTTGTATGGGAGTTTTAAGTAAGTGCTAGTAATTACAAACTCTTCTTCTGCTACAAATTCACCCAATCGGTCTTCTGGCTCATTTTATTCTCCAAGCCCAAACTGTCCTATGAATTCTCCTGATTGTCCCCTACCAATCTTGGCATTTAAATCATCCATAATCAAGGTTAGATCCTTTTTGGGAAGGTGTTTTAAGGTGTTGGATAATTCATTATAGAATGCTTCACTTACGTCGTCTGGTTTGTCAGCGGTAAGGACATATACCTGAATAATTAGTTGTTATTGAGTAGGTATCAAGTTGAAGGAGGAGCGTTTTTTCCGATAAGGGTACAAGGTTTTTAAGATGTCTGGCAGTTTCTTGATTTAAAATTATACCTACTTCATTTTCGTGTCTTCCGTTGGGGTTACCTGAATAATAGGTGATGATTGTTAATTTCACATTGCCCAGACTTCGTCCATCTCATTTTGCTTATTCCAATTATGTGTATTGATAGTCTATCCATCTCCTTGATTGCAATATGAGTCTTACCGGCCTTGTATAATGTTTAGATCGTGAGCATTTTCTTTGCACTAGATTGGCAAGGGTTTCGTCTGTTGGCGACCGAGAAGGCCTTGCCGTCTTGTGATTGTCCTTCTCTGTCGGACCATGATCAGTATTATTTTTCTTTGACTCGTTATTCTATTGCTGATTATACTAGGGGTACTCTCCGAGTCCTCAATACAGTGGTTCCCCGTTGATTTCTGCATCTTTATGCCATTGACCATTGTTAATAGGTTCCTCCGCCTTCAAGATCGAGTTACCAATCTTAGGACAAAAAGGTGCCCTTCCACTTATCAGCTCATCCGCCCGGAGTCGTTGGCGAGTAAGGGGAAGACACAAAATACTTATCAATAAATCAGTCCAACTGGCAGCATATGCAAATGACATAAATATCATGAGCAGAACTAAAGCAACAGGTGAGATTATGTATACGAAACTTAAATCACATGCTAAATAAATAGGTCTGCCAATAAACGAAAAAAAGACTAAAATCCTAGTATAAAATCAATTGGAAAGGGCAACACGACCCTACCTGACAGTTCATCTTAGAAACAGGAGGTGGCTTTATCTATTTAGGAGTCACCATCAGAAAGGACAACATTGACGATGCAGAGCTTAGCAGAAGAATAATTCTAAAGAGATCAAAAAATAAAAAATAATTCTTAATAAATATATTAAATAAGAAATAATTCTTTATGCAGTACAGAAACGATTCAAATATTTGACCTTCTATGGCTGAACAGTATCCCAATCTGTCATAAATACTTCTGCGGGCAGATGAAAGAGTTTCTGCTGTAACAGAATTGGAGAAATTTTAGTCTCTAGCCTCAGGATGATCGTAGATGATGTTTTTTAAATATCCTCAAAAAGAAGTCCATGGGTGTAAGATCTGGAGATCGTGCAGGCCACTTAATATCGCCTGTTGCACTGATAACTCGATTCGGGAAAGTATTCTTTAAATACTCCCTAATTATTCGACCGTTTTGAACTGAATAGCCGTTTTGATCAAACCAAACATTCACCAGATTTACATGAGGAAGATTGAGAATACCGGGAAGAACATGATTCTCTAACAAATCGAGGTATACTCTACTATTCAAGTTGTCCTCAATAAAAAATGAACCTATTAAGTGGATAATGATTTTTGAGGACGTTGAGTTAGGTAAATAACACTTCTGTGCTGGTTTTCCCACACACAGTAACTCTTTAGGAAGGCTTGTGTCTCCCCACTAACGAAACAAAAGATTCATCAGTGAATAAAATGTTTTTAATAAATTTGGTTCACCATTAGCCTTCGTTAATAGAGTTTCGCAAAACTCCATTTTTCAAAAATAATCGTCAGGATAAAGCATTTGCGTTTTCGAATATTTAAAATTCTTGTAACCATACTTTCGTTACAGTAACATTGCTAACATCTAATTCTAGCAACGCTTCTACTTTCCTCAACTTTTTCTGATGACACTTCTTGAGCATGACATTTTCTGCAATGTTTGAGGTAATAACAACTCTCAAAATTTTTAATAATATTATGAATTGGCTGTACTCAAGGGATTGGTCTCCCCTAAAAAAACACAGAAAACAGATCTACACACCATTGTTTATAATTACCACCATAAAACCATTTTATTATTTGAACTTTTTCTGCGGGGGTATAAACAGACATGGTTACAAAAATAAAAATTACAAATTATTGGCGACGAGTCAACGAATTGGTTCGTGGAAATTCGAGGCGAGCAGTGTTGCCATTTATAGGTTGTATATCTAATTTAAAACGAACGCACTGTACAATAGTGAACTGGTGATTCCCTTGAAAACAAAATCGATGGGTCTAAGCGTTCATATGTATGAAACATTTTTTGCAATTTTTATTTTTTCACCACTGGAACTCTAGAGTGAAATCAGAGTCAAAAACATAACCCAGGAAAGCATTGACGTTGGTTTTACAGAAAGCAATTCCATCAATACATGATAAAATAACAGTATTAAATATTTATTACAATGGCATTACAGTGCCGAATAGTATTTGTGAAAAAAAAAACTAAGGGGGTTGAAACACTTTTTAATACCTATGTTATGATTACAATGGTTAAAAAGCCGAGTATATAAATATCGACCGACTTGGTCGAGTATTGATGGCGAAGTGAGGTTGTTCGCTGGCCTCTACCTCTTCTACCTCAAACGCGAAAAAACACAAAGCGCTCCAGTATTGGCGCGTATATTTTAAACAGAGACAAAAATGAATATATTATCACTGTGACAAATAACAATTTGTCAGCACGATATTCTAAGAAACTTTTCTTGGATGAGGATTTTTTTGTAATTTCATTTAAAGAACATATTTATAGTAAAAGCCCATAATACTAGCAAGAACTAAATACTTAGCCCAATAGTGTAAAAATTCAAATTCCCTCGCCAATTGTCACTATTCGGGACGATTTTAAAAAGAAAATGTCCAAGAAAGCGAAATACACTTTCTGACAATTATTTGACATTTTTACACTTAAGCAATTATCAGTAGATATAATCAGCACTTGCTAGTATCTAAACTGAATGATTGCAATAAAACTAATCTCATTTCTATAGATGCAACTTCGTAAGGAATTTGACGTGACTTTTTTAATCACCAAAAAATCAGGAAGCGATAAACGCTTGTAATCAACGCTGATCAAATAGAATACAAAACTCAAATATTTGGGTGTGCAGCGGAAGATAGGACAAAGAAGTATTCTTTTTAGTTAACCAAGCTTTCGCAAATCTTCATTTGCATCATCAGGGTGCTACAATAAACAGAATTAGTACAAATTACAGAGTAAGAATTACTTTGCCTCTTACACTAATTGAGGTTAGTTGTCTTGATGTTAATCAACTGAAATTGGCAACTAATTTGACCCCTACAAACGATGGCGAAAACTATCCAAAAATTGATTTTAAAAAAACGTTCTTTAACCATAACTTCCTGATGATATTAACAAATACTGGGGTCATACAAAACAAAATCACAATAAATTGTAACGTTTTTAGAATTATGACCTTATTTATTTATGTTAATTTAATAGGCTTTGTTTTAAAACATTGACAGGTTGAAGTTTCACTTCCTGATGATATTAACAAATATAAAATAATTTATATTTCCACGATATACCTAATAGTAGGTCTATAATTTGTTGTACTAGCAGTTGCTTGATATTAGGGATGTGGGATTTTCACTCGTCAATGTCAATATCAATGTCATAGATTTGTGTATAATAATTAAGTTTGTGTGAATGTAAAGTAATTTTTTTTTAATTTTAAATATAGGAATAGGTTTTAGCTCAACATATATGACAGACTGTGATAAGTTTTATCAACATTTTTTATAAAATCATTTATGATACAACCTCATTAAGTTTGTAAGTATCGAATTTTTAATTAATTATACAAATTTGTAAAAATTATTCATCACATTTGTAGCTCCCTGATGAAGGACATAACCAATGTCCGAAAGCTTGGAATAAACACTTTTCATTTGTATTGCTGCATACCCAATATTTAAAGTTTACTTCCTTATATATATATTGTGTTGCTTTAGCACTTAGCTATTTAGCCAACTACATACCGTTGATTACAAGATAAAGAACAAAAAACCGCTATTAAATATACAGGAAAATATCTATTCTTTATGGATTTACCCGTAAGAAATAAAAGTTTGTTAATATGTAAATATGATAACAATAAAATCTTACCTGAGTCTTCTGTAGAACAATCTTGATTAATTGAAACTGCTTCATTGGAATAATTTGGTAAAACCATTTTTTTTTCAGTATCCTCAGTATTTTTCACCTCTACTTTTTTACTAGTCTTGTTAAGAGCATCCAAGAGCAATTGTTGTAAATCATTTGATTGATTACCCTTTTTCTTAGTCCTCTTTCTCTTCTTTTTCTCTTTTAGTATATTTTCTTTAGGTATAGCTCCAGTAGATGGCAATACAACTCTGTTTGTTACATTTAAATCATCACCGGGGCGTGCAACATTGTTTGTGAGATTTAAATTTGGTACTTCTGTTTCTTGAGTATTATCTATTATCTGTGTTCTGTGAGTCTTTCTGGAAGTTTCTGAAAGACTTGGGAAATCTTTGTCGTAGTTTTGGAATGGACCTGTTGACTTTGGCTGTGAATCAACTTTATAACTGGTTAAATTGTTCTGTATATTTGTAGGAGCATAATGTAGCATAAAATTGTTTGACAAGCATAAGTCTGGTAATAAATTTCCAGCGCTATAAGTATTATCCAGAGTTGGCAATACATCTTCAATGTTCTGATCACATCCACAGCTATAAAAATTGCTTGCCGGATCTAATGGATTATATAGCTGAAGTAATGAAGGTGCACGAATTAAATCGATTACTTCTGGAATTAAGAACTTTTCTACTTTTTTGTATAACACCGAAAAAATCTGATCATTGGGTATAATTGTAAAATGTGTCATCATCTGTTTAAAATGAAGCTTTACTTCTCTCTTTAATGTATCTGGATTAACTTCAAATTTGCACAAATCATTTATTGAAGTCTTTATGTCAATTTCAAAAAGAAATGCCACACTCACTGCCCTTACTAAATCTTTTACAGAAAGCTCGGAAGGTAAATCACTTTTATGGCAGATTGTTTTACCTGCACTTTGGGAATATTGTTTTTCTATCAGTCTTCTGTGTTCGTCACTAATTGCTGAAAAAATCCTATCTTTGTGACACACAAATTGATTTTCTGATCGAATAATAATATAAATTTGAGCTGCAATTTTTGACAAATTTAAATTTGCCTTAAGACATTTTAAATCTGAAAGCCGTTTTAGTACAGATTTTCTTATGCTAATTTTGCCGATAGGTTTACTCACTTCTGTATTTTTTTTTGTATTCCCAACGTTATCGTGAAGTAACGTAGAGTACTGAACGTTTCTTTGAATTATCACATCTTCCAATTTTGTGTATAACTTAAAAAATATTGGATCTTCAGGTGGGACCTGTAAAGGTACCATTATCTCTCGGAAATTTACTCTTACTTCGATTTCAAGTAAACATGGTACGATATCAATTTGCAAAATCTTCGTTTTCAAATGATGGATAAATAACTTGCTTACATTTATTCCAAAAAGTAAAGCTACAGTTATGGCTCTGACCAACTCTTTTATTTTCGTATAAACTGACCAATCTGGACAGGGTTTTGCAAAAAGAAAACTGTTTTCAAGATGCATTTGGATTTTCTCACTAATTAATGGACTATCCCGCTTTTGAGTGACAGTTGATGACAATTGACTATGTTTTTTAATGCTAAAATATATTTGAACAGCTTCGCTTGAAAGTTGTAGAACATCATCTAGAACTTGAATATTGTCAAAAGAATATTCTAAAACTTGATTATGTGTATCCTGTTTAGTAATAGAATTATCATCTTTTTTAACTTGGTTCTGCAACATATCAATAGGACTAACAGTTCTACTCAGTTGTCCATTTAGATGTGTTTGATGAACTTCTTGGTATCTTTGAAGTACTAACCTTTCCAATTTTTGGTAAAATTCAAAAAACAATACATTATCAGGAGTTATCATAATTTGTGTCATCATATTTCTAAAGTGTAGTTTAAGATTATTTTCTAACACACATATATTAGTTGTTATTTCAAACATATCAATGGTTGAGTCTTGTACATCTATTTTAAAAAGAAATGCCACTACTAAGGCTCTCACTAGATCTTTAATAGAAACAGGAACTGGGCCTGTAGTATGTACATATGGTTTTGTATTTTTGAATTTCTTCTCAAGTTCTTCCATTTCTTTCTTACTGCTTTCCGAAACAGTTGGGAATTGATTATGCGCTTTAATTATATCGTATATGTGAGAAGATTTTTCTGAAAGTTGCAGACAACCTTTAAGTTGATTCAAATTGACTAACTGTCCTGAAGATTTTTTCTTCTTTTTATTAATCTTACTATCCTCTTTGTCCGCAATTATTTCCTTACTCATGTTTTCTTCATTTTGTGGAACATTTTGATGTATAGCGGCTGTTTTTTGAGGTATATTGTGCCACGGATTGGCAGCAACAGCATTTCCCTCTTCACACTGGTTCGATTCTGTTACAGTATAAACATGACAATTTTCTATATCTATGGGAGGAGGCTCATATTCTTTATAATCTTCGGTATCCATTCCCTCATCAGAATCACTATCAGAAAATGCCCTACCCTTTAGTCCATGTATCTTTAAAGCATGTTTGTTTTGGAAGTCCTAAAATAAAGAAAGAATAGACATGACAATGATTGAAAAATACAGGATATTTACACAGTAATCTGATTTGTAGCCGATACATCGTTTAATTTTAAGACTAAAAATTCATATAAACATGCATGATCAGTAAACTTGGGCAAATATGCAAAATGCACACGATACAGAAATACCGGTATGCTAGCAATAGAAATGTGTACTTCGACGCGCATGACGTCACCTGCGAAACAACAGTACGGTGTTAGAGATGTAGGATTCCCTGTCCCAGTAGATGTATTTGTTCATCGTGCGGTAGATGAACTGTTTTTACAAATTAATCACCCCTGTGGTAAGTCTTTAAATATTTTTGTTTTTGCAGATCCTCCACATTTGATTAAACTTGCCCGAAACCATGTAGTTGATCATGGTTTTATTATTGACATTAAAAGAATCAACAAGGATTACTTTGAAGCGCTACTAAATATGTCAACTTCTGAATTGACAATTGCGCACAAATTGACACTACATCATCTCTGTTTAAAAGACTCTATGAAGAGTGAGACCTACAGTTCAATGATTGTCAAAATATGTGGCAAAAGCTATTAGTTATGCTGGAGAAAATGGGATTATGCCAAAAGATAGTTACTGAAAAGAAGCTGCTGTAATTGTTCAGGTATTTAATGATTGGTTTAATCTATTAAATTCTCGATGTAAGTTCGTTGCCAATTCTCCAAATACTGTTGCCCAAAATTGGTCTTGGTCTTGTTCTTGCGTTTTCGCAAGACCAAGACCGCCTAATTTTAGCAAGACCAAGACCAAGACTGACCGTGCAAGATTTAAGCAAGAACAAGACTAAGCCTGCGAGACTCTTGAAAAACTGGACTTATGCGCATTACGAACAATACCATGAACATACATACCGAATAAAAATATTTATTAAGAAAACACATTTGATACGTGCTCAGGGGTCATAATTACAATATAAACATAAAATAGTTTGTACATTCTTTTCCAGCAGACGACTTCTGTGATCTGAAATTAATTGTCCAGATTTTGAGAATAGCTGCCCTCTAATCATAAAATAATCTTCTTGCATTGCGACGCCGACAGTAATATCGTATCGAAATTTTTTAAAAATATGCCACCTTAGCTAATAAAAAATATAACACTTATTGTTACAAACACTCACTTAATAATTCAATTTTTTTCCCATTATAATTTAGTTAGGAGAAGTCCAAATAAACAAATCTTATCGGCCTAATAAACATTGTTTCTGCTGAGCGGCTAGAAATAATAGCTAGGCTATTATTCAAAAATATCCAGACAAATTAATAACAGATAATGTCGCCTACCATGTAAACAAAATACCGAAATATTTAGAATAACGAAGGAACGATATATACTTCTCAGTTTGTTATTAGATACTTAGGGTATTGGATAGTAGCGAACATAAAGTAATAGTAATAGTTACTTTTTCGGCATCACTAAACGTCATTCCCAATTGAACTTTCCTTTATGTCTAATGTAATAATAATTGTTTTTTAACTATGCCTTGTTATTCCCGGAGTGACAAGTTTACAATTTGACATGAGTGACAAAGATTCAAATAGTTTTAGTCAGAGTAGTGGGCGTTGGAATTATAGATCTGAAAGACCTTAAGCAAATTTGATGAGTTTTTCGAAATAATTCATGCATCCCAAATTGCTTTGTGTAAATTGTGCCTACATAGAAAGGTTGAAATGACAATGAAAAACAGCAACACGTCTGGTTTAAGGAAGCATCTAATATTTTTCACAAAAAGGAATTACAAATATTTCTTCCTAAAAAACCAAAATTATGTGGAGATACCACAAGCTTTTTAATAACCTTTGGAAAAAGTGGACATGTAAAAAAATATACCTATTACCTTATTACCAATTACATATATTATGTACCAACTACTTTATTTTGGCCAATTAATGAATTTATTAAGTAGATATCTAAAGAATATGTGCCCTTGATACCTGTCTGTGAATTTTTTGACACATACCAATCTCTTTAAGATTTCCATTTCATATATGGTGGGGGGTCCATCAATCCCTTTCTAGTCAGATAATGTTCTTTAAAATACAGTCAAGTTTATGCCATTAATTTGTTTTTTTTTTTTTCGTGTTTTAAACATATTTTAGCACATGTAAGCTTATTAAATGCAAACATTTATTAAGAAACATATTGACTTCCGTGGGGCATGGTAGACAGCTGAGTTAGAACTTTATTTTTTCAAATTAATGTATTTATTAAGTAGATATCTCCTTAATTTAAAATAACTTCTTTTGATTATCATTGCTTTTTTACTTATTCTTTATGGTTCCAAGTTAGTTTAATATATAAAAGTAGAGCTAAGATTGTTAACAACATTTATGTTGCTTTAAAGTGGATTAAAGTTTGTTATCTTATCACCTAAAGAATCTGTGCCCTTGATACCTGTCTGTGAATTTTTTGACACATACCAATCTTTTTTAAGATTTCCATTTCGTATATGGTGGGGGGTCCATCAATCCCTTTCTAGGCAGATAATGTTCTTTAAAATATAGTCAAGTTTATGTCATTAGTTTGTTTTTTTTTCGTGTTTTAACCATATTTTAGCACATGCAAGCTTATTAAATGCAAAAATTTATTAAGAAACATATTGACTTCCGTGGGGCATGGTAGATAGCTGAGTTAGACTATAGGCACGGATCACTTAGATCGTGACTTTAATCACTACCCGGTGTCAGTTGTTTAGACATTTATTAATTTGGTTGGTCTTTATTATGGCTATGTTAATTCAAGCTTAAAATGTACTTGCTTTGTTACATTGTTCTAAGATTTAAAGTAACATTTAATAAATAGCAATAGGCTAATGGGTAACTGCAAGACCAAGACTGTCTAAGTCTCATCTTGTTCTTGCATTTGAGCAACACTATCTCCAATACGAAATGCATATGGTAGATTTAGATAAACAGTCACATCTACTGGATGAAATGTTAGAAATGGTCAATTCAAGCGGGTTGGTAAACATAAAGGGCTTATTCCATTTCAAAAAGGGATATTACTTACTAATAGATCTCTTAAAGAGTTACTTTCTTAGATACAAGCAATATACAATGTTGACTATATTTTAACTTCAAGGCTGAATCAAGGCATGCTAGAGAACTTACTACTACTACTACTATTGGTTTACAGCGTTCTCCGACGCCTTCCGACTCCTAACCGCCATTCTTCTCTATTCAACCATAGGCCTGGAGGGATTTCTCTTTCCTCTAGTTCTTTTTCAATTCCCTCTCTCCAGCTTCTTCTCGGTCTTCCTCTTTTCCTCCTCCCTTGTGGTGTCCACGTCAAAATCTGTTTTTCAATCCTGTCATCTGGCATTCTCTGTACATGAGAACAACTGTCCTAGAGAACTTTTTTTCTTATATTCGAGAAATGGGTGATGCAAATGATCATCCTTCGCCAATAGATTTTAAATACAGATTAAGGTGGTGTATTTTAGGAAAACATTCGGCGGCGATCAATACGGAATGTCGCAATACTATTGAAACTAGGGAATCCTGTGTAAGTATCAGCTCAATAGAAAGAAATGTAGCAAAAAAAAGTGGTTCAAATTACATAGTCCGGGAAATGGAAACAAAGGACTTCATTGATTTTAAACATGTTTCCTTTCTATTGGGAAACAACTATAAAATTGATCAAAATAAAGAAAATGTGAAGTGGACAGATATAAAAATTATGCAATGTAGAAAAGATAGTCTGCACACAATTTTCTTTAGGTACAACTATAGAATTCTTTTAATCTAAAAAAATCATCACTGACTACACATAATATACGAGAAGTGCTACTTACCTGCCTACAAAGAACAACCAAAAAGTCAAATGGCCTATAAGAAAGATTTGGTATACTTATGCCATTCGGGCATGATACCAGAAGATATTTTGGTCCAAGATGATATATGAGAAGAGGACAACAACTAACAGAAAATGTGTCTACACTTTTTACAATTTTCTCTGTGCAAAAGTGTTGTAACTTTAAAATTCTAATACTAAATGTGTAGTGATTAACAATTTTCTCTGTGCAAAAGTGTTGTAATTTTGAAATTCCTAATTTTTTTAGCATTAATACTATTTTATTTAAATTTCTATTTTTGGTTAATGTAATATAGGCTGAAAAGCATGAAAAATTATAATTAATTGTTAATTTTTCTTAAAACTTGTGTCTTATTTCACTGATATTAGCATTAAAATAAACAAAATCCTCTGTATCTCGAAACTTACTTATTCTGACTTCCTGCAGTCTTGCACTGAGGCTATATATATACACAATTACATCATGTTTTCAATAAATCCCTATTTTCTGTTATTCCCCAAACTTATGGCCAGCTAGCTAAACATTAAATTTTTATCTTATATTTTTATTATAGGTATTTCATTTATCTTATACATCTTATATTATATTTTAATTATAATATATATATATATATATATATATATATATATATATATATATATATATATATATATATATATATATGTATAAAATGACATGTTTTAAATTTAGAATAAATGAAAAACAAATCCATCTTTTCTGGGATTCCCCAAAACTTATGATGAGCTAGCTTAGCTAGAAATAATTAAATTACATTTTTATTTTTATAAATTTACAAAATAGTTTCTATGTATTCATGTTTCTGCATACTCATTTTTATAAATACTATAATAAAATTGATTCCTTAAAATGAAACAACAAATGAAAAACTTACTTGCTCCATTTTTACTGCTGCCTGAACAATAAGAATATGACAATTTAGTTATTGTAATATCTTTTATACTATACAATCAAGCCACTGATAGAAAAACTATTTGATATGCAATTAAAAACACTTTTAACATGGATTAAATAAATTTGATAACTAATGATAATGATAATTATCAATTATTTAGGAAAAAGAATGTACAATTAGAACAACTATTGTTTATAGTTTACAGAAATACTGATATATCTTGACATTGTATCTTGTATCATTGTGTAGAGATTATCCCGGAGTGGTGGGTCCATCTAATTAAATAAATTTCAGGCTTTTGTAGACATCCTACCCTCTTGCTATACTATCTTTGAGTGATAAAAACAAACAAGTCTTTCCAAGGCCATTTCAAGTTGATTTTAACAATGTGCATGTGGCAATGAGGTTTAACATTTATAAGGTAAAAAAAATTGTAAATCGGAAATAAAACTATTATTCATGCAATCCCAGAACACATTCTGGGTAACTCTTTTAAACATATAAAATTGATTAAAATTTATAAGAATGTAACATGTGTAATGTAAAGAAAAACTTACCTCATCCATTTTCACTACCGTTGATGTTACTTTTACTCTTGCTACAACCTATCCTATACCTATTCTATAATTCTAAAATTAAAAAATAATTGTTTTCAATTTTCATTTCAATGTTGCTGCTGCTGCATGTTATGCTAAAAGTTTATTAACAAAGCAGTGTTGCCATTATCAAAATTTTATTTTCGGTAGATAATCATAAAATTAAGTAGAAATTGGTAGACTTAAATTTAAGTCGTACTTTTAATATAACTTGCTAAAATTATTGTTTTTGGAAAATTTTGTATAGTTGCAAGGACCCATTACCATTATTATATTGTACCGTTTTTAAATAAAACGAGCGGTTCGAATTTATATAAACATATTTATTTATAACTTTACAGTTCGGTATTCTCTTATCAACTCACTTAAATCCTAATTTCGTTACATATATATACCAAAGTATTATGTTCGAGAATATTCGAGAATAGTCCCACCTCTAATTCGTTATTTGACGGATGGAAATTTACAGCGCTCGAAATATCGCCGAAACTCTCGGTGCTTCGAGATGCGACCGTTAGGTAAGCCACGCTAAATGCATGTTCGTAACACTGCTCCCCTCTTAGATCTGAGCGTCCCGATCAGGAACTCTATCTATAGGCCCAGGATGGCGAAATCTACAGAGGACTCTCCAGCTCTGCATGAACCCCTCAAAAAGAAATAACAGTCTACTGTCTTTGAAGGACACGATCTCTTCGGATTAATGCAACACACAGTAATTCTTACACCGGTTTCTCGGAAGATCACTTCAAGCATGCTTCTGACAATCTTCCAATCCAGATTATCTAGTGCATGGCCTATCTTGGGTAAAGCCAAGTTCTTAATGTCGTAATTGCAGACGATTTTCTTCAAATTAGTCAAAGCACGCCATATATCCTCGTAGCTTGCCCTGTCTGTATACGACTTTCTGGTCACCATATACAACAAAGATCGAGAACCATCTTCTAATCTCAGCACTCTTCCAACTTTAGGCTGCTGGTTTTTTAACTCGTCCAAGCGACCAAATTTCTTATGAAATACGGATGAGATTCCTTAGTCATCTCAAGATCTTGGGCAACACAGTGGGCTAGAGTGACGTTATGCGGAACACTAAAAAGATCCTGCTGAACTTCTGTCGTCACGCCGAATCTAGCACTCTTTCTCTCTGCGTAATTTGACATAAATTCATTAAAGCTTGGTCGCCGGTCTTCTTCGATCTCATGCTGAAGGATTCGTGCTTCTTCTGTTTCATTTGAGCCAGCATAAGGTGCAAGCCGATTTATGTGAACTACTTTTGGTTTACCTTTCGGTAACTTTTTAATTCGGTATATTACGTCATTTATTCTCTTTTTAATTTCATACGGACCCTCCCATTGTCTTTGCAGTTTAGGAGACAAGCCACGACGACGTTGTGGATTATACAGCCAAACAAGATCACCTACTTTATAGCTTTCATTTTTGCATCGAGAATCATATTGATCTTTCATTCTGTCACTGGCTAACTGGATGTGTTGTCGGGCAAGTTCATGAATGTTGTTCATTCTTAACTTCAGGCGGTCGACATAATCTTCGCTTGCAACATGTTCTTCGGAAGGTCTGCAGCCAAACTCTAGGTCGCAGGGCAAACGAACTTCACGACCTAACATCAGGCAGGTTGGAGTCTGGCCCGTAGTTTCATTCACGGCCGAGCGGTATGCCATTAAGAATAAATGAATGTGCTGATCCCAATCTCTTTGATGTTTTGATACAACTTTGGACAGGTGTTTACCCATCGTTCGGTTCATCCTCTCGACCATTCCATCTGATTGAGGATGCAGGGGTGTCGTTCTGGTCTTATTGACACCAATCAATTTACAAACGTTTTGAAAAAGGTTTGACTCGAAGTTTCGCCCTTGGTCGGAGTGGATCTCCAAGGGAAAACCAAATCGGCTAAAGAATTCTTTAACAAGTACCTCTGCAACGGTAGCAGCTTCTTGATTTGGTATCGCATAGGCCTCAGTCCATTTTGTAAAATAATCCATGGCTACCAGGATATATTTATTTCCATCATTCGTCTCTGGAAGTGGACCTGCAATGTCGATTGCTACTCTCTCCATAGGACTACCAACATTGTACTGTTTCATGGGTGCCCTCTTTTTACCAACTGGACCATTACTAGTTGCACACAGTTCACATTTCCGGCACCACCTTCTTACATCATCTTTACAGTTCACCCAATAGAACCGTTCTCGAACCTTTTGCAGAGTCTTCGTAATACCAAAGTGTCCACCTGATGCACCGTCATGCAACTGACGCAATACTTCTGACACTTTACTTTTAGGTACAATCAACTGAAGCTTAGTTTCTGTACCATCATCGTTCTCAAAGGTTCTATACAGAAGATCATCTTTCAGCACTAGGCAATTCCATTGGCTCCAGTAACACTTGACTTCGGGACTACATGCACTAATGTCTTGCCAAGAAGGTCTTTCACTTCGACGCACCCAATCCAATACTCTTTTTATACATGGATCATTTGCTTGGGCGTCTTGTAGCTGTTGAGGCTGCCATTGGTCATTAATAACGGTGGTTCGCCTAACGGGGCAAAATCGTTCTTCTAATTCAAGACAATGATTACGATTTGCACTGTATGGCCGTCTTGATTGAACATCAGCATTTGAATGACTTTTTCCAGCCCAGTGCTCGATCTGTTCTAGCTTTCTGACTGTTGTATTATTTTCTTGCACTTTGTGGCGAATGTGACCTACGTCACCACAATTCCAACATCTGGGCTCACGTTTCTTAGGCATCGTGTTACGAACTACTTTTCGTACCATTTCTTCCAGACGTTCATCGTTTGGTTCGTCGCCTTCTTCAATGGTTCTTACTCGATGGCTCCGTGAAGTTTGACTAGCTGTTTCATGTTCTAAAGCAATAGCGAGCGCTTCATCTAGAACTTTCGGTTTTGCTAGTCGTACAGCTTTCTGCAATTCACTTTCTTTTAACCCATTGACGAAGGTATCTACAGCGATTTCTTCCAAAATGTTGTCTGGTACCTCAGGATAAGCCAACCGCACTATACGAGCAACATCTGCTTCAAACTCTTGCAAATTTTCACTTGCTCGTTGAACTCTACTTCTTAGTTGCGCCTTGTAGACTTGTTGTAGATGAGCATCTCCGTAACGTTTGTCTAGTCGAGTAAACAAGGTCTGGTAACATTTTTCTTGACCCTTAGGAATCGATCTTAGGATATCTGCAGCATCACCTCGTAAAGCAGCAGTCAAGGAAACAGCCTTTTCTTGTTCTGTCCAATGATTGGCTGTCGCAATAGCTTCAAATTGTCTAAGGTATATGGACCAAGAGGACTTTCCATCAAATGGTGGCAATTTGAATCTCATATGATGTGTCATATCGTCTCTAAGTGATTCTTCTTTTACAACCGAATCTAAAGCTACCGTATTATTTAGTGGTAGCACTTTCGTGTTAGTTATCATGGTCTCTAATTGTTTGATTTTCTCTTCTACGTTGTTTACATTTTTCTGCATCTGATCGAATGTTCTTGAGACTTCTTCAAATTTCTCATTATTCTGTTTAGAAGTTTCTTCCATCATTTGAGAAACATTTTCAAATTTCTCGTCGAATCTTCTAGACACATTTTCGAGTTTCTCGTCATTTTGTCTAGCTACTTCTTTAATAATTTGAGACGTTTCATTGAATCTTTCGTCATTTTTTTTTTTGAAGATTCTTCAATCATTTGAGACGTTTCATCGAATCTTTTTGAAACAGTTTCGAATTTTCCATCAATTATTTTAGTTAAAACGGCTTCTTCTGCTGACTGGAACTGGAATGTCTCTGGGTCGTCTCCATTCTTGTTGAGAACAGTCTTCAGTCGTTCTTGGAGGATCTTCTTGGACCCGCTGCAGTCTTCATCGCGTTCTTCTAGTTGCTCACGCAACTGTTTCACTGAAAGTTCTACTAGCAGCATCTTTGGACAGGCACACACGTACTTTTATAAATGTTCTTTCGTACAAAGGTCACTACCGAACTACGCGGATGTTCCCGACGAACAATACTTTTCAAAAGTTTTAAAGTCTTTTTCAAAAATCACTGCTGGATTTATGTTGAAACTCCACACCGGACACCAACTGTACCGTTTTTAAATAAAACGAGCGGTTCGAATTTATATAAACATATTTATTTATAACTTTACAGTTCGGTATTCTCTTATCAACTCACTTAAATCCTAATTTCGTTACATATATATACCAAAGTATTATGTTCGAGAATATTCGAGAATAGTCCCACCTCTAATTCGTTATTTGACGGATGGAAATTTACAGCTCTCGAAATATCGCCGAAACTCTCGGTGCTTCGAGATGCGACCGTTAGGTAAGCCACGCTAAATGCATGTTCGTAACAATATAAACTAAATATAGTTGAGTCCCCAAAAGGGATAAGGGAAAAGCCCATGATGCCCTGCCTACCAACTAAAAACATTCTGTGCTCAGCCACACACTCGCTGATAGTCTTGTTTAGAACGTTCCATAATGCTTGCGTCCTTCTCTTCTCGTTTTCGCCCTTTAGAGTTTATATATTCTGTCGTTCCATTTGTTGGATCTCTTACCTTTTTCTTATTCTGGTTATTGCCCCCAGGATTTCTTGGTATTTATGTTCTTCTCTTCCCTTCACTTCCATTATATTATTCGCCCTAACTTGGCCCATCCTTTCGTTCTGCCCTCTCGTTCATAAACCTTACGCAATCAAACACACAGTGTTCTGTTGTTTCGTTAACCACGCAGTTCCTTCTTGCTTTCCTATCTTTATGAGGTAGGCACTGAAGCCATGGCCCGTGAAAAATTGTGTGAAGAAGTAGTTAGTCTCCCTATGGACAAGTACTTACTACCCGTATTTCACGTCTGGTATGAGTGTTTTGTCCATTTAGCCCTATATTCGTATTCCTACCACTTTTCTAACCATTTTGTATTGATCACCCCTCTCTCGTTTGCTTTGTCGTTTCACTATAACCATATGTGAATTGCTCTCTCCCTCACTAATAGGTGAATTGGTGGCATTCCTGCTATTACTTGTAAGGCACCTGTTGAAGTCGTCTTATACGCACAGACGATCCTCAACAGGTCATTCTCCTGTATTTTTGT